AAAAGTTGACAAAGTAGGGAAAAGAAAAACCTCGAATCTTTTCGAGATTATTCAAGTACCAAAAACAGTTTTACCCTTCAAGCGCACCCCGACTTCCTGGCTTAAGTGGTTGTTTGTAACTCATGCGAGACTGCTTGGATCCGACAGCCTGAAAATACGCACCTAGTACGTCAAAACAACATTCGCACAAGCGAAGACGTTTTGCTGCTGTGTTGCCTGATCGCAGGCTAAAGACGTACCCAAAATGTTAACCCATTTAATTTACCATAAGTTACAACGACATTTATCCAAAGCCACTCTAACTTGGTTGCCGAGTGTGCCCGCCCCAGTTCTAAAATTAGAACATTTAAAATTAATTTTAAAAAATCCGAATAATTTTCAATTGACCATGAAAAATATTTACTGCACTATCATTGATTATACAAGTAAAAAAAAAAACATTTTAATATTTTTGACACAATTTAAAAGGTAAAACATTTTACTTAAAGTCCACCTTGCGTGACGAGCTGTCAGAAAGACGTATATGAGCACGATCCTTCAGAAAGTTGGGCTAAACGCCACCCACCCCTCCCCCTTACACATACACACACTCGCCCCGCACGAAGAGACACCTAAGAACAGAACACACAATTAGAGAGGGCCAATTCTTGGAAGACTCGATACTTTGACGGGCCTGGAAAGCTGATTTTCTTTCTTTTTATGCCTCGTTTTCATCAAGTTCATTGAAATCAATACTTTCAAAATGTAAACAGCTGGTAGAAATATCAAGAAACTGAACATAATAATCTGATTTTCGAGCTAAAACAAGCACTTCTTTTCCTTTCTATTTAATTTAAAAATGAGGCCTTGGACTCGTAGAGTTACCGAAACTTTACGAAGAACCACACCAAAACGCCTCTGCCTGCCCTCTGAACGCCCGCGAGTCAGGCCAATTCACACTCGAGATTAAACATAACTTAAAATTGAACCTAGCTTCATTCTAGTTTCTTGGCAACGGCCCTTTCTTTAAGATACGCTTGGTAGTAAAAGTTAGAAAAGAGCCATATCATAGTGAGCTCATAGGCTATTCCGTACCAGCACCACCCGTGCTGGAGATATCCTACAATCATGTGACACAGTCCGATCATGAACTGAATCAATTGAAGTTGGGTCAGGTTCTTCTTCCAAGCGGGTCTTTGACCAGGATTGAGGGCAGATTGTCCGTAGTAGAAATACAGGAACACTTGAATTATGCCATTCAAGCCCAATGGTACAGAGATGGCCGGCCAATTGCCGTACGTGTAGGCGTATTCACTCAGCATCAAAATGGAGGAGTGGTGATAAATCTAAAGGGAAAACACATCAATAGGGTTATATTTCACTTTATTACGTTCAAAATCAGGCATCAGCTTACGAAAGGCTTCTTTATGCCCAATCTGATCTTTAAAAAAAATACAATGAAAGATAGTTACTAATCGAATTGTCATTTCGTCCTCTTAAATCAGGAGCGCAGTTATCACTCGTTCCCATTTCTCGTGCTTCCAAAGACCCAGATGACGAGTCAGCCCCAGACCTTTGTAATATCGATTCACCTCACCGATCTGTCGATCCGGCGCCGAGCAGCGCCGAGCTGCAAGGAACTCGAGAATCCGTGACGTGATAAGCCCAACATGTTCAAGTAGATTCAAAGTTTTTGGGATCCCTACTTACATGAAGTAAAGAAACTTGGCGCAGCCTGTGTCTAACAATCATGAAGACTGTGTCAAGGAGCTCTATGTACTTCGTCATGTAGTACACCCAGAAAGCGTGCTTCACGAGGGAATCTTCCTCACATAAAAACAAAGATTGTGGCCAATTTCTTGCCAGGGCTGCGAGGATGATGACCACAGAATAAAGGCTGAATAGACTACAAGCAAAATTATAAACCACCAGAACCTGGGGAGATCAAGAAAGAAAATATAAAATCTAGCGTTTTCCACATCAATCTTGATCGGAGAATGTCATGCAACATGCTGTTTATTTGTTTCTTAGTACATCCCCGTCACAAATTAACTCTACTAGCCTACCCCTCCCCTGCTGGTGAGGTCTCTCTCCAGGCCTTCACCTCACTCACTCTGGCCAGCCAGATATTTTTCTCTAATACCAGGTAATACTTACTTTAAAGACTAAAAATAAATAAATAAATAAATAAATAAATAAGTAAATAAATAAAGAAAGAACCGGGTATCATTGCAAACAAGATAGACATCTTCATCTAATAAGTTGGTCTAAAATATGGCAACCACGTGCTGACGTGGACCCAACAAAGGAATCTGTTAAAATTATCCATACTTTGCGGAGACCAAGCGGGCGGACATATCGAATCCAAAGCGGCGAGAGAGCCACAAAAGACAGGTATGCAACAACCACGGGTAGGGACTGCAGCTTCACGACACCTTTAAAGAAGTAACGCGCGAATTCTGTAACAAACCAAAACCACATCTCAGTAATATCACAAATAAAAGCAGATCAGTATATCTTTCTTTATCAAGAGTCACTAAGCTTGTTGCTGATATTCGCGAAGTCGGTATCAATTAAAAAAAAAATAACACTAAGAAAGTAAAGTGACTGATTTGGCTCGCTAAATATTTCTTATTAGAAGTTTTGGTGTGTAGTATCGCTGAGTATTTTTACGAGCTGTGCCGTATATCGACGAGCCCGTTGGGCGACTTAAAATAAAAAAAAGAGTAAAATTACTCAGCTATACTACACACTAAAACGTCTTATGAATGATTTATTTTCCAAATGCTCTATTGTATGGGCATTTCTTATTTGTACAGCCGATCGGTTATTAAACAGGTGTCTCTTCAGTACAAAACAACAAACTGTTCAATATCGCGAGATATTTGTACTCAATTCGCACGTTATTTGTACTCTTCTGAGTGCAGTTGGATGATAAAACGGGAGTAGCCTGCAGAACAAGAATATTTTCTTTTTGGTTTTTTCTAAGGTTAATGGAGGAAAGCACCAGGCGAGCGCGAATCGCTAATTACATGCGAGAGGAGGAGCGTGACTCACACCTACCTCCATTCTCTTGAAAAGGGCAGACAAATTACCCCAGTTTGGCAAGCTAAAACGAAAGGAGCCCATCAGTTGTATCTACCCATTAAATTTATTTCGTACAAGGTCCATATTGCCCGTTCAAGGACTTTCTTTTCGCGCCGTATGTTTTAAGTTGGTTTAGGAGCTTTGCCGGGGATCTGGCACTATTAGGGAAGGCATCATTGGGGACCTTAACAACCACGACGGCAACGAGGACGTGGCAGAACAATAGCTCAGCACGTGCATTTTGAAACTTTGTACATTTCTTAGCCGTCCTATGCAAAACAACAATGTAAAATCGCCAAAATTTGCGTCGTCTGCGAGCCGAAACCGCGACGGCAAATTATTTTAAATTCCATTTGGAACTCAACGCTCCTTTTATACGTCATGCTGAAGTTGAGCTGTGGCGCCGTACGAGACAGTAAGCTCATGCAGCCATTTTGAAAATCTAACTAAGAGTAGAAATTCATTTTTTAATCGAAGTCTTCCTTGGCGTTGCCGTCCTGACTGCTTAAGGTCCCTATTATCATTGCTAGACCCTTTGTAGGCCATCACACCCTTAGCCCCCTTAAGAGTGACTAGAATCTAATTTCTCCTTACCACCTGAATCAAACGTAAGGTCACGAGAATAAAGGAAATAATGACTAGCTAATAGTTCAACAAATTCTCCTTGTCAGCAACTTAGGAAAAGTATAGAGAATATGCATATTGATGTTCGGGTGTAAAGCGCTTAGAGTCAAGGCCTCATGTTTTCCCGCACATGAAGATACTCTCACGCCGAAAAAGCTCTGGCAAAAAATAAATGTGACTGCTCACGGCAGGCTTCTCTTGGAAGGATACTACAGCCGGAGTAATAAAGTACTTTTATCCGTCCATTTATTCATCTTTCGATTTAGGGATGACTTTATTTATTCATTAATGTAAACAATAAAGTTCAGTTTGGACATTAATCCTTTTCGTATTTTCTCTGAAGGGGCCGATATTTAGTCTCCTCTCGCAGTCGTTTGTGGGGAGGGAGACAAAGGGATCCGCTGAAGAGTGAAGCGATTCACGAAACAGGCTTGTCGGGAAATGTAGTTACGTCCTTTTTTTCCTCTCATAATATTTATATATATATATATATATATATATATATATATTCTCAGGGAATATATCCTCAGAAGAATACAAAAGAACGCTTCGCCAAAAGGTTCTATTGTACTGCTCAGGTCAACCTGAACAAAACTTAAAAATCTCAAGGTTAAAAGTGTTAATTGGGAGAACTGCTGATTTACGAATTTAAAACATGCTCGAGGGTTTTCCTTCTGTTCTTTCAACATTCTCAGTAGTGGGATACGCTGGAAAATATTGGAAATCAAATAAATGTTACGCGCTGATGCTTGATAAAAGAGAGTCCATAAAATCAAGAGATTTTGAAGTTTTTAAGATCGCATATTTCTAAGACGTTCTTATTTCTGTTGTTCTCTGTATTTTTATTATTATTATTATTAATTTTTTTTTTTTTTCCCTTGGATTCCCTGTGCCTCATCGACATTTTTGATCAAAGACAAAGCAAAAAATACCTCCTACAAATGCAATAAAACAAACCAAAGTCCAGCTGAGACCCCCCATCTTCTCTCAGTGCCATGGGCTAATTCAAGTATCGAAAAAAGAGAAAAGAAGAGAATGAAAGACTTCTGTTGCCCCACCATACCCCTCCAGAAAACGCTATTCATGCGATGTTGCATGACACTAGCGTGACGGTGTGTCAGGCCCAGTCTCCCACAGACCGGTAGCGAATGTAACGCTTTTTACGCCTGCAGATCGAAGTTTCACCATTTGAGATGGAGTCACGGGCTGGTAGGTGACTGTTATTTTCTGCTCCTTCAATTTTTAAATACAAAATAAGCCGGGATATTTGTCTATAGCCGCTATTTTTTTCTTACAAATCGAAAAATCTAAATAAAAGAATTAGATTTACGTAATTATATAATTTGCACATTTCGCAAGGTCTGAGGTCAATATTCGGTCATCTATGTTTAGTAACAAGCTGTGTTGGAAAAAAATTCTCCAAGTCTAAATTTGGAGATCAGACAGTGTTTCCATAAGATAAATTAAAATGAATGATTCTTATTATACATCCTGTATTGTAGCTCTCTTTTTTAGATCAGTTAGTCGTATTAGCTTTACAATGCCCCATAGCTATACTCAATGTGAAATTAATTGGTTACCAAATGATGATTGATGCTTTACCACGAGTAACTAAGACTGATTTTCTCCTTACAAAATGAATACAATATCACGCAGACAAGTGAAGAGAATAAAGAAAATATTAATTCGAGGATTATTGATTGATCCAATATCAAGTTCTCAGTACTAACATATCCTAAGAGATGTATGGTTGGCAGGTGATCATCAGTCATAGAGACTGGTAATAAGCAATACCAGCACTAAGAAATAATTCAATTGATTTTCATTCAAGATCTACAAAATTCAGGGCCCAGTTGTTCGAAGGCTGATTAGCACTAACCCAAGGTTAAATTCTAATCAGGGTTTCTTTAATCCTTTGTTCAAAAGTCTTTTTGGGATAATATTCCTTACACTTTTTAGAGCATCTAATCACCAAGTTGTAGACAAAAAGAATTCCACTGAATTTCCTTTTCAAGCTTTCAGATCTGAAATCAGATTTTACAGTAACTCAGGGTTATCTTAACCCAGCTTTAATTTGAGCAACCTGGCCCTGATCTGCAACATCAAGTGAATTTCATTACCTTTTTCATTGATTTTCTTGCTCTACAGAGAAGTATATAAATTTCTTCAAGGCTGTTGTAGGACTGCGGTCATTTCCTGTTGTTGTTATTTACCTGATTCTTATACCAACATCTTTACTATGGAAGAAGTACACCTCCCCATTAGGACTGCATAAGGTAGAACTCCGTCTTTACGAGAATGCATGAACAAGTACTTTCTGTTAAATAGCATATGTACAACCAAAGTTGTGCACAAGGATTGGCACTTGTGCACCTTTTTTGGTTACTTTCTCAAGTTTTGGCTTGTTCATTTGTCAAATCAAGATGATAATTTTAAATCAATGTATAATTTATTTAGGAACTTGTGCAACCTTGTGTAATTAATTTACAATTTAGCTTCCGTCCTTTTTGTGCTTTCATTTCATTATAGTCTGATTGCCTTACACCCCCTTTTCCCCCTCATTGTAGTTTACATGAGAGTAGTATTAGAAAGGACTGCCATTCCAAGTAGTAGAAAAAACCAGGAAAGATTTATTTCTATGCCTTTGCTTTAGCAAATCCCTGCTGATCAAGTATTCCAAGTAGTGACTGACAATTTGGTAACCTCAGCAGAAGTCAACGTCTGAGTCAAGTAAGGAGTGATGTGTCAAATGTTCCAAGTCTGGCCTGTGAATTAATTGGTCTTGAAACTGAAAGCTGATTGGAAAGTGTAAGCTTACCAATCAGTTTACATGAAACAGACTTTTAACTCTGATAGTGACTTCCATTGAGGTTGTCAAATGATCAGTTACTACCACATAAAACTGTCTTTCTCAGTACCTTTCTCACCTAGACAAGCAGAACACATGATCAAATATTACTCCTGGGTTCAAACTCTTTACTGTACCTCCTAATAAATTATGGCATGTTTTCTTGTTAGGTTTTAGTGGCATACAACTTCCTGTGCAGTGCTCTCAGCCTATATTCATTTGTTGTTATAGTCAAGGCATATTATCAGGGTGGTTTGTTGTATGTTTTTGCTATGGAGCATGACGCAGATGTCAAACATGCCTTTTCTATCTACCTATTCACCAAGCACCTGGAACTGTTGGACACAGTGTTCATGATTCTTAGGCATCGCCAAAGACAAATCACCTTTTTGCACGTAAGTCTGCTGAATTTAATCCTTTAAGGATTGGAAATTTGTAGAGAACATGCAGTATGAAGAATATGCTTACTGAGGTTAGGTGATAAGCAATGGCAGATCGAGGGAGAGGCTTGGGACATCCAACCCTCTTTTTCATCGCAGGCAGGGCTCAACACTAACGGTTAAGCCCACTAGCCACAGACTAGTAGAAATTCAGTTTTGGCTTGTGGTTTTCAATTTCCACTAGCCACTTTGGCTAGTAAACAGACTGAAATTGGCATAACATCTAAAAACATCTAAGATGTCACTAGCCACTTGGCTAGTAAGTTGAAAAGTTAGTGTCAAGCCCTAACAGGGTAATTTTGGTTTTATCAACTGAGTTGATGAAGTAAATTGACCATTGTAAGGTGTTGCAAAGCTGATGTTTCAAGCCTTAGCCCCTCATCAGAGTCAATGGTGGAATTGTGGGTTGTGTGTGTGTTTATACGTAGAAAGTGGAGCTTTGCAGAAAAAAAGCGGAACTACCTCACCATGTTCTCACCAATAGCAAAGCTCCATTTTCCCTTGTCAAGTAATGAATTTTCC